TATATATATATATATATATATATATATATATATATATATATTCATGAAAAAGTAGGTATTATAGAAAAATTGGGAACATTTAAGCACCTATCAGCTTTTCTCCTACTCAGTTTACGTAAGAAAAATCACTCGGTTTTCATACTGACTACTTGCTAATCTCTGGTCATTCTAAGTTTTCCAGAGACGTAAAAGAGATGATCAAAGAGCTAGACAATTTGTCATGGTGATAGAGGAGTTAGTGCTGTTGAATGTGGGTGTGTATGACTCCAGAGTCCATAGGCTTTCACCAGACTACTACTTCAAAATATCTCTTCCCCAAGTTACTGGAGTGTCCATCATAGAGACAGAAAGAAAGAAAGGAAGGAAGAAAGAAAGAGGATGATGTCCCCCTTCCACCAATCATCTAGATGTCTATAGCATTGATATATCTAAGTACTTCAGAAACTGCACTGGGAAGACAATAAACACAAAGACACATGACTGAGAAACTATACATTTTCATAGACATTATGATTCCCTTCAGAGTATGCAGTCCTGGGAACTGAACTCAGGGCTTGCACATGCAAGAGAGGCAAGCATTCTGTCACACAACTATATCCCAAATTTCAAACTATGTGGCCCAGGTAGGCCTTGAACTTGCTAATCGCCTGCTTCAGCCTCCTTAGAGACTGGAGTTACAGGCCTCTGCCACCAAGACCACTTTCCTTCAGATTCTGGTCACAGGCTCCATCAGGAGAGGAAGGATTCAGCCCTTCCCAGGAACTGAAGCTGCAACTGAGAAGGCTCTTATGAGACCATTGGGCTTGCTGGGACTCTTCCACTCCTCTTTTTTCATCATCTGTTACCTTCTGAGCCTGAAGAAGCCTCTAAATCACTTCTAACTGCTGCATGCATGCTCATTGCCCCTGCTCTAGCTCACAGAGGTGGGACTCTGGCACTGTCCACATGGATCTGCTACAAGCTGTGCACAGTGCGAGGCACAGAAGGGGTTTTCATATGAGCTGTGTGTGAAATGTTAAAAGGAGCCATAGCACAAGTGCGAAAATGAATAGGCTGGGCAAACACCCACTTCCAAGTTTATTTTCTTTACTAAAAACAATATACCCCCAGTCTGTAAAGGTTTTGGAGCAGCAGAAAGGAAGAGGAACTAGAAAATGCAGCTACCTTCATACTGTAATTAGGATAGAAGTGACCATGGAAGAGAATAGAGAGCTTGGAAGCAGACCTTCAGCTACTGAGGCACTTGATGTGACAAAATGGCATTGCAAGTTGCTGGGGAAGATAAGCCACCATTCAATAAATCACGGAAGGGATGTTTATCCGTATAGAAGAAAACAATATAAAACCCAGTTCACAAAGATACTTGATACTCCCTGGTAGTCTAGTGGTTAGGATTCAGCACTCTTTGCTACCAAGCCTGGGTTTCGATTCTGGGTCAGGGAAACCTCTCTCCTGTAGGCCAGTGGTGGTACAAGCCTTTAATCCCAGCACTTGGGAGGCCGAGGCAGGGATTCAAGTTCAAGGCCAGCCTGGTCTATAAAGCTAGTTCCAGGACACCAGGGCTACACAGAGAAACTCTGTCTTAAAAAAAACAAAAACAAGAAAGAAAAAATCAGGTGAAGTGGGTCAAACATTAAGTTTAAAAGGCAAAGCTGTAACTTTTAGAAGAGAGTCATATGAGCTATGAGAAAGTTCTTTAGAAGGTATAGAAAGCAATAGTTAAAAAATTGGTAATTAAAAATACATTAAGAATTTGAAACTTTATTCTCTGGAAGACTAGAAATGAACTTGAAAAGGCTAGTCAACGATTAGAAAAGATACTGTAGGAACTAACATGGAAGTAGGAAAAGAGCTATGTCCAAAACTAATTGGTTTAAAACCCAAGATGAAGAAAAATACCAGCAACAGAAAACAATCAAAAGATATGAACAGATTCTATAGGAGAAGGACACAAGTGTGAGTAACTCTGCACTGCTGCTGTTAGTGATGCCAGTTTAGTTAATGATGTGATACTGTTTACAGGCACTGACTTGACAAAAATGGCTTCTCTGTTTCATGTGCTAACATGGGAATCAATGCGAACCCTTATGTGCTAGGCTGGCACCGTGAATTTGTATTCCTTGTATGGTCTGTATTTCCCCTTCCAAGTGCACACAGGATACGTGAAACTGTATCTGTGGAAGTGCTGCTCACAAATCCAAAATCATCCAGGAACTAAGGGCCTACCCAAGAAGAGGGTGGATGAATTAATGGGACACATACATACACACACCAGTATGTTAATCAAAGAGCAGTAAAAATGACTGGATCATGGTAGCAAGACAGTGAGTGTGAATAAAATCAAGTGCAGAATTCTACATAAAGGATAAAATCACTTTTACGATGAACCAGTATTTTTGTCATATATAATCCAATAAGTCTGTTTGTTTTGAGCAGGAAAAGAAAAGAACAAAAGCAGGGAAGGCATTCACCCTGGGAGGGACCAGTGAGCAGGTGGCTGTGTGGGTGAGGAGTGTGCATATCGTGGCAAGGACAGGGTTGGCCATATTCTGGTGCTTGGTTAATAGAGATGGGGTGGTTGGCTTTATTGTGCTTTGTAACTCAATGTTACAATCTATTTTTCATGGAAAAGGTTTTATTTTTATTTGGTATTACAGGGCTGTTGTCTAAAAATCCCAGAGCCTTCTTCCAATCTCATGCCATGCTACGTCTCCTCCTTTTCTGCTTCTATGCCTTATATGACTGGCCTGGAATTCACTGTATAGACCAGGCTGGCCTCAAACTCACAGAGATCCTCCTGCCTCTGCCTCCTGAGTGCTGGGATTAAAGACATGCGTCACCACAGTACTTCGTAAACTGTTTTCCATGCATACAGTGTCTACCCACCTATGGCCTGTTTTTCACCCCTCCTCTTGCCCCCAGCCCCCATCTGTCAATTATTACTATTGGTTTTCACTGCTTCAGTATAGATACTGACACTAAAGCTACTGTCTTGAGATTCCAGATTATTTTGTGCAGTTTTATATCAAGTTCAACTTAACACACTGCATTTTGGAGTCAGGACACATGATTTAGATCTGAAAGCCACAGGCATAGGATCACAGAGTTCTGAGACTTCAGGAAAACATAGTTAAGAAAAAGGATCCTTGCAACTATGAGGATAATGGCCTAATAAAAGGTGGTGCCTAACCCAAGTAAATAACGTCATAGAGATGAATGAACTACTGTAAGTTAATATCAACCACTTCCTGATGCTTACTGTGACTCAGAAAAAAAATCTGACCTTAAAATAAAAAATTTGATATCACTTCCATCATGATCATGATTGAGTCTTGGGTATGGATGAGAGAACATTAAAAACTATAAAGAAGCCAAGCCTGGAGCATCACACCTGTAATTTGAGCAGCTTGGAAAGTTAAGGCAGGAAGCTCAAGGCAAGCTTGGGCAATTTGGCAAAACCCCAAATAAAATTAAAAAAAAAAAAAAAACCCAGGGCTGTGTATAGTGCTTTCTGCACATCTTCATCTACTTTCAGATATTCTGGTCCAACACAACCAAATTCCAACATATAATTATAGATTTGTGTTTTCATTCACTTATTGGACAAAAATCACAAACACACACAGCCCCAAACATAGGTGTTCTATCTTGTCTGTGAATTGCTTTACAGCCAGTGTCTGGCTCAGAGTACATGATCAGTTAAGTATTTGTTGAATGAATTAATGATGTTTGAACACTTGAAGGTTTGAAATATTGGACAGTTTTGGAGTTCAAGGAACTCCCAGTAGTGCAGAATGGGGGGAGTGCAGGTGAGGCCAAGGGGTTTCCAGGGGCAGTGTGGACTTCATTTGGAGGATAATGCATAACCACTGAATGTTTAAAGCTGGTGAGTGGTGGGTTTGTGAAATTATTATCTTTGTAACTTTGAAACATTAGAAAAATAAAGCTGAAATGAAAGTAAAATGGCCACTACGGGAATTTTGCAGGAATCTATTTAAGAAGCAATGAAGGCAGGAGTTGTGGCTGTGCTGTGGGAAAGAAGCAAGAACAGTTTGAAAGACATTAAAAGAAGTGGGGAGGATGTGCAGGACATTTGAGGAGATCAGAAATAAAGCATAAGGTTGCCTGTGTTTCTAACCACGAACGCAGAGATTAGAAGAGAAGTTTGGATAAGAAAAACTGGTATTCTACATTATTATAAACCTGCTGAGGTTAGGTAGTGTTGCCTTGCAGGCTTACTGGGACTCAGAAAATATCTGACCTTAAAATATAAATTTTGATGTTTTGGTTATAGTTGAAATCTTGTGTGTAGGTGAGAGAACAATAAAAAATATACAGGAGTGAAGACTGGGGGAATCACACCTGTAACTCAAGCTACTTGGGAATCTAAGGCAGGAAAATCCCAAGTTCAATGCCAGCTTGGACAACTTAGCAAAACCCTGACATGGAATAACACCAAAGGAAGGATGAGGGCTGTGTAGCGTGCTTGCTTAGCATACACGAAACCTCGCATCAATTCTCAGTCCTGCAAAAAGGACAGAAAAACAAGGAGTGTATGAAGGGAGAATAGAACTGTTATAGGGCATCCTAAGAATATATGACACTTATGGCTGTGTGAACCAGAACTCACACACAAAGCTTAAGCAAAGCCAAGAGGAGGAACATGAAATTGTCACCTGGAAACACAGGGGGAACAAGACACTTTTCCTCTTCAAGGATGGTATGACCAAAATTTTAAAACACTATAGAAAAATGCAAGTATGTCTCTTGGGTTTAACAAAGGATTCTTAGTGGCTTTCCCAAGACCCTAGCGTAAGTCCAAGTAGAGTGAGCAGGGGCAGGTAGATGAAAATGAAAGGCCTCCTTTACCAGCTGCCTGGTAGAGATGGAAAGGAAGAAGCTGTGAGGGGCACTGAGGTAAGAATAGCTTCCTGATGATGATGATTTAGACCTTGAAAACTGTTCTATCAAACAGCCCTTGATATCATGCATTTTGCAATTTATATAAAAGATTGCTCTTTAAATGTGTTGACAATTTCAAATCTCTAGTTTCAAAGCTAAGAAACAAAAACACCCCGTAGCTCCAATCCCTTTGGCTTGGTACCACTGTTGGGATGCCTGTGGGTGCATTCATTGTTTTCTCTTTGGAAATGTTTTTTCAGTCTCTCAGGATCTGGCTCTCCAAGCATATTTAACAAAGCATCAGGCCGTGGCTGGCTCCTGCAGGAATGACCAGTGAAATAAAAGGACTTACTTTGATTCTTTGTCACTTGTGTCCACGTCATCATAGATGATAACATCCTGAGACCTAAGTCCTAGGGCACAGACAGGACCAAAAAAAATGATTAGGTATGCTTTATACACTCTGGCTTTCCAAATTATACACAATGACCTACTTATCCAGATGCATCCTCAAGCCCTTTATCTGAACAAAATGAGTCTCTTTGGGGAAGACATTCAATTGAAGGATTAAAAAGCAGTGAGCTCTCTGAATATCTGACCTGCATGTACATTTACATCAACTTGATTTCATAAAATGTAATGAAATTGTCCCCATTTTCTGGAACTGAAAAATAATTTATATCAATAACATATTGAGGGGGCTTTTCTTAATATCCAGTGGGGGGATGGTAATGTCTTTGCTGATCCCCCCAAGACATACAAAATTGTATTGGTTTGAAATAATTGTTCCTTTGCAATACTATCATATTACATTGAATCTTAGTACATAATGATAATTAGACATTTCCAGTAGGTATAGTTCACAATACCATGCAATACAAAATTCCATGATTTTCAGATGATTTGCCATTTGAACAAGCTTGGGATAGTTTGATATATTCACAAGTTATGTTCAATTTTTCATAATCACTCTTAGCTTTACTAATTTCCCACAATACCTTTAAACTCTGGGTGGGGGTATAATTTCTACATCACTTATTGTGACATCAAATCTTTTTGGAGTTTAGGGTATTTTCATATAGGCAGTAAGATATGTAGAGATGTATCTTGGATATAGGAGTCAAATATAAACTTGAAACTAGTTAATGTTTCATATACACTTAATACACATATCCCAGTGATAATTTCATACAGTAGTTTACCATGCCTGCTATGTGATAGACCTGTCATATGAAGTCAAATATAGAACTTTTCAATTATAGTAGTAATGAAGTTTCAGATTTTGGAGCAATTTGGTTTGTGGATTTGAGGATTAGAGGTAATCTCTGTAAAATGAATTCCTATTCCAAGTTGCCTTTAAAAAATTTTTATGACAGTATTTTGGAGTGCTTCAATTTTATCAGGTGTATAATAACCTTTGATATTTAGCATGGCAGCTTATATTTCTGAAATATATTTTTGAATCACTGAATCACAGTTATAAATGAAAGTAACTTTCCTGCTAGTGTCCATGAACAAAAACCAATGAACAAAAATCACACAGTCCTCATTCATTGTCAAATTCCATGGACTAGACATGTATTAAGAGCATCCTATATGTCAGGCATTGTGGTAATTTATACAGTGTTATTTAAATAGCAAAGCAAAGAGTGTTCCAGGAACCCATTCTTATTCAGGTAGTGTGTGAACTGCAGCACGTTCATACTCCATTTATCATGTCTTAATCTGGCTATCAAATCCATCAGGGGTAAGTGGAACAATGCAGAGTGCCTAAGTTTCATAGTCACAGAGTCTTGGGTACAAATTCCAATCACAAAGCACAGATGTGGATCCTAGAGCCTCCTGTAAAGACAGCAACGTCTGCTTATGGAAGTGCTGGAAAAATGTTTCTCATCTCTCCAAACAGGAAGTACCATTGTTTAAGATATCTTCTTTCATTCTGTTGGGTCCAGTTTTCACTGGGAAAGCAGGAAAGATTACCAATGCTCTTCCCCTGCCCAATAAAACACCAATCCTGAAGACAGCAATATCAATGGACAACATCAAGTAAACATTACTTACCTAAATCAGGCAGTGACATGGAAAATCCATTGCTAATGAAGAAAAGATTTAAAAAAAATGTCAAGGAACAAAGTCATGCTCATTGTCAGATATATCCAAAATACCATTCTGATGGCAAGTGTCCTGGTCCTTATGGTACTGAAATAAGACTCTTGCATCTGTGTTCTGATTGGCTCTACCCCATTCAAATGAGCTCATTCATCCCTGTGGACTGTCTCACTTCCTAACTAGACTACTCAGGCTGCCTTGCAGCCTTCTAAGATACAATCAGATTTACTGAATGAGCATAGAGATTGATGAGAAAGAACAGTACACAGATGAACTCATGGGGATTCTCTGCAGAATTGCAGCCCATCTGTGTTTTATAAGGCAAAGGAAGACTTACACAGAGAAACTCATGTCTGGTGGAAATGTAAAATGGCAAATTGCTAAGTTGGAGAGGACATGCTCTCCAGCTAGATTTGGTTCTCTTCTCTTATCGCTAAAGAGGTCACATGAAAAGAGATGTGTGATGAGAAAAGGGAAAGGAAAAATAGAAAAGAAAGAAAAAGTCTATTTGATGTCTTTAAATTCAGTACTACAGGTATTTTTGTAGTAGCCATGAGTCAGGCCCTTCCTTATGCTGGGTAAGATGATTGGATACAGTTTCTGTACTTAAGGGAGATAGAAATTCAAGTAACGAAGTCTCCCTGCTGTGATCTAGACTGCAGTGCCCACACTCCTGTCCACTGGATCTCTTGGGAGATTTAGCTCCAGCAGACAACTGACATAAAATCACAAAATTTCAAGGCTGTGTAATTGGGAAGAACTTTAGAGGAGAATAGTTCATGCTATCTCAATGCAGGTGATGATCCTGGCAAATTATTTTCCAATGTCCTCCCAAAGTACAAATCTAGACATGTGTCTCTCTGTATCAATAATGTGCAGAGAGAACTGTCCGCAGAGGCTGTATAGTCTCCTTCCATTGCATCCATGAAGGAACGACAGTCCTGTAAGCATAAATGAAAGAAAATCCTGCCTCTTTCACTGCTGGTGGATTTGGAACCTCCACGAAGATGTTACATGAGGACCGGGCCTTTCTACGTCCAGGACCTTGAGATACACAGACCACTCGGCAGATCAGGTTACCCACATCAACATGATATACACATTGCTGCTTTCAAAGGAGACAAAGTAAATGTGGACATGTACACAAGTGAGACCACTGGAGAGTGTGTGGCCAAGAGAGGATGAAACCACTAGAGGCTGTGAGGCCAAGAGAACACGAAGAACACTGGAAAGTGTGAGCCAAGAGAACATGAAAACCACTGGAGAGTATGTGGCCAAGAGAACATGAAAACACTGGAGAGTGTATGTCTAAGAGAACATGAAACCACTGGAGAGTATGTATCCAAGAGAACACGAAACCACTGAAGAGTGTATTCAAGAGAACATGAAGAGCACTGGAAAGTGTGATCCAAAAGAACATGAAAACCACTAGAGAGTGTGTGTCCAAGAGAACGTGAAACCGCTGGAGAGTGTGGGTCCAAGAGAACATGAAAGGATATAACGTCTAAAGTAATGCTTAGTGATAATGACACAAGGTGCCAAGGATGACTACAAATTTTCTATTCTGAATCTTGTCTGCTTATCCTGGCAATTTTTTTCTCACTAGTTTTTTTGTAGGGTGTCATGTACTGGGGCCGTTATAGCTGTAGATTCTGACACTCTTGTCACTGGTGATGAGAATTCGATGGAAAACAGCAACCCGTGTGCCTGCAAGGCAGTGTTGCCGATACCCAGGAAGAAAGGCTAAAGGGGCTGTTTACCTGACATTTTCTTTTGACTTGGTTTTCCTCATTCTGAATATGCCCTTTTCTTTCCCGAAGAGCTGCTGCAATCTTCTCAGTGCTGCTCTTCCATCTACTCTAAGAGGAATGAGGAGATAAAACAACATGGCATTTGAGACAGTTCTAGAACTGGGATAGAATGCTGTTGGATTATCAAGAACCAGAGACCTCAGCCTAACGTCCAAAAGACTACCTTGTGAAAGCACAAGGAAAGGCCTTGGCAATTAGGAGTGAAGTCTACTGAAGTTATGAACCAAAATCTTCCTTTTCAAGAAGAAAAAACTTGGGGAAACAACTTCTCCAATTGGTGCTAAAGATACATCAGAGAATCACTGACTCCTGGAATTGCCATCACTGGATTTTAACATACGCTCCAGTAACTGAGTGTACAGCAGTGGTGACGTACTGATGGGTCAGCTGATGATGAAATTCCAAGTATCCTATTGGTATAGGGGGATGTAGTTAAAGAGTTCACCCACATAACCAGTCCAGTACCACTGTGCCCTTCATCCCCAGACTTCTCTCTAGTGACTGTGCTGTTTTCTTTCCCTTGCTCTTTATAACTAAATTTGACCAATGTTGATCATTTAAACAAACATCATTTGCAATACCAGTGAATAAATTCCAAACCCTGGCATCTGTCTGACTAACTCACAAAGACAAAAACTAAATTATATTTATTGTTTTGATCCTGGAAAAGCAACTATAAAATCAAGGCAAATTCTATTGTTATTTACTTCCTCCATCTCAACTACTTCTTAATGCATAATATAAAAGTTCTCTACTCTAGAAAATGGACATTTTCTTAAAGGAGAAAGCAACGAATCTTCAAATCTTCAATTTTATGATGTATTGTTGTATGCACTAATGAATATGTTGCCAGTGACAATGTAATATTTCAATAGATTATCATCACTCAATGTAATCTTCCCTCAGGGACAGTGGTGGGATATGGGGCTATGGCTTAAACCCTGGCTTACTAGGTAAACAGGAAACACCATCAACCTACAATCCAAATCCAAGAAAGAAACTCACTCTGGTTTTTGGTCATTATTCTTTGCTTTGTAGATATCTTCATACATTTCTTCACTATTATCTTCTGAAATTCAGAAGCAGACAAAAAACAAAATATGAATGAATATATGTGAATCACCAGGTACTTTCAACTTTCTTTCGTTAAGTGGCTTTTGTTGAAATATATGCATATTTTATAAGCATGTGATAAAAATTCATAAGCATGTATAAAGCTTTGTACAAATGAGAACTAGGTGTTTCTTCTGAGTCTGATTCCATGTGGGATCTGGTTCAGCCAAAGGTAGCTAGTTTCTCAATGGCTACATTCCTTTCACCCTCCATCCTTCCCATGGTTAGTGAAGAACAGCTGTAGTTTTCTATGCATGAGACAGCGTGCTGAATTCTGGGGAAACAAAGGAAAACCCACATCTCTCTTTACATAAGCCTAACATATAAGCTTAATATACACAGACAGATGCAGGCTGTAGCCTGGAAATGGAGTCTAGAGAAAATAGGATTGGATTCAATGTATAAATGTTAAAGTTCAAACTTGACTGAAACATAGTTGAGATGCAGAGTTCTTTAACTTTCCTCTGTACCTCTGTTCTCTTGTTACAAGGTGAGTATTGGATTTAATATTCTCTGAGGTTGTTTCTACATGTCAAATTTCTGAATTCTAAGTAGCCAGCCCAGAATATGATTTGATTAGCCTGTGTGTGTGTGTGTGTGTGTGTGTGTGTGTGTGTGTGTGATATTACAAAGAGAGAGAGACTGTCTCACTCTTCAGCCCAAACTATCCTGGAACTCACTATGTAGGTCTAAGCAAGAAATGGGAAAGAAGATAGGAGAAAAGGGGGAAAGAAGGGAAGGGTAAGCAAAACTATGGATATCTAAAAAAGTAAGATAAGAAAACCTGCTATCTTATAAGTTATTAGGAAATGCTACCTAAAAAAATAAGTATCCTCTCTAGTGATTTGAGGGTAGCCTCAGAGGCTCACATATTTGAATTCTTAGTCACCAAGTATCACTTTAAATGGGGGTGGGCACCTCAAACACCCTTTGGTTGGCAATTGTAGAGGTAGAGTTGGCAGGGGATCACCTTCAAAGAGAAACTGAATACAGTGGGAGATGGACCCACACAGATGTTGAGAGAGAGGCAGGCCACACAAAGCCTTTAGGCCAGTGCTTTTCAATCTGTGGATCATGACTCTTTAGAGTTCAGACAACCCTTTCACTAGGGTCACTTTTAAACTATTCTGCATATCAGATACATTATAATTCATAACAAAAGCAAAATTATAGTTATGAAGTAGACAATGGAAATAATTTTATGGTTGGAGTCACCACAACATGAGGAACTGTATTAAAGGGTCACAGTAAGAGGAAGGTTGAAAACCACTTCTTTAGACCATGTTGATATTGATATTAAAAAAACACTGAAGTTGGGGCTACATACTCTTCAGTAAGTATTAGGAAGCCCTGATGGTATTTTAAATAAAAACATACACCACTTATCAGACTTGTGCTGTGACACCAAAGAAAAGAACAATTTCATGTGGAGAAGCTTCTGCCACAAGAACACCATCCCTCCGTTCAACAAGCCTCAGCCCACCGCCCTTAGCTTAGTCTTGACATCCAGTTTTTAGTGACTGAAAATGTGTCCAAATAAAAGGCCATGATCACCGCTCAGCCTCAGCAGTGTTCGGCGATTCCAACCAGCACTTACCGCTGTCTGAGGTGAATGAGCTGGAGAAGTCCCATTTTGGTCTGTGAAGGAAGATGTAGAGACCATTAACATTAGCACACCAGCACAGTCTTACCTCATCCCTCCTTCTGGGGGGCCAGAGTACACTTACAACTCTTCTCTGGAGCACCCCACATCATCATAAGTCTTCTCTGAAGAGGAGTCTGACCTAGTGGTACTTGAGCTTGGGGTTTCTTTGGTCACCTCCAAAGCCTCCACATATCCACCTATAAGGGAAATGGGGAAACCCGTGAGACAACGCCACCAGTTATCAGGAGCACACCTGCACTCATCCCAGGCAATGGGGCAACAGCAGGAAAGGCAGACTAAGTGTGATGAGACTGGAATGCTGTCTCAGCATGTGCTGATTTGAGCAGGAGATGCCCCCAAGGCGCATGTGTCCAGTGCTCTGTCTTCAGTGGAGATACTATCTTGTTAGGTCCTGGAGGTGGAGGCTGCTTAGAGGAAATAGGTCAGTAGGGGGTTACCCTTTAAAGGCTGTTGCCATCCCTCCTTTGCTCTCTGCTTCCTGCCCACCATGACTTACCTTCTCCCCCACATGCTTTCACCATGATGCTCCACCCTACTACAGCTCTAAAAGTAGCAGAGCCAAGGACTGTGGAGTAAAACTCTGAGCCCAGAATCAGACTTTCCTCTGTCCCAGTGTTTAGTCACTGCACCAAAGAAACGGACAACATGATCTGCATGATCTTGGAGAAGCCTCTTCATCCTGCAGAGTCTGCTACAACAAACTCCCTGAGGTTGGGGTAATTGACAGCCCCTTCTATGCGACTGTGCAAGGATCAAGTCTACATTGATAATGAGTGCAAATTTGCCAGCAAGCCAAAGCTCTTCCCCAGTGGCTCTTCCAGTTACTTCTGGCTTTCTGTGTTGAAGTTCTTCAGCCCTGGAGATTTTCTCCACCATCTAAATTCTTTCTTAAAGTTTTGTAAGTTAATTGGACACATATCTATGTGTATTAATCATAAAATTATCCAGCAGATAACACGCCAATCTGAAAGTCCATAGGGATTGTTTGCACAGGTAGCCAGCCTGATAAGTGCAAACAGTTCTCAGCTGTAAACTTGTCATAACCAGAAAGCTGTCACCTCTTCATCGGGTGGTACAGCTTCATACTTAGGCTGTGGGTGAGTCAGAGCTATTTTCATTTCAGACATGAACTACTTATCATAAGAAGTGTATCTAAAAATATGCAATGAACAAAGTGATTTGTATCTATTAATTAAATGAACCAAATGAGGAGATTTTAATCCTATCACAAGAAGTATGTGACCCTCAAACTATTTCAAAGAGGGTCAGTTCCCAGAGGAAGGCGACTTAACATTTTCTAGAGAAGTTAGCAGAATAGTTTCCACAAAAGTAAAGATGTTAAGCACATAGTTGGACACTTATGTCTTTTTAAAAATGCATTCATTCTACTTTGTAGGTTTTGAATGTTTGCTTTTATATGTGTGTGTGTGTCACATGTGGACCTGCTGTCTGTGGAGGCCAGAAGAAGGTGTTGCATCCCCTGGACCTGAAGTTAAGGATGACTGTAAACTACCGTGTAGGTGCTGGGAACCAAACCAGATCTTTTGAAATAACAAATGCTCTTAACCACTGAGCCATCTTTCCAGTGCCCCCTCCCTTTTCTTAATCTTATTGGCTCATGAACAGCATTATGGAATCATCTTAGAAACATAATTCCGCTGAGTAGTACTCCATTGTGTAAATGTACCACATTTTCTCTATCCATTCTTCCAGGTTCTGGCTATTATAAATAGTGCTGCTATGACTATCGTTGAAGAGATGTCCTTCTTGCATGAATGTGCTTCTTTTGGGTATATGCCTAAGAGTGGAATTGCTGGATCTTGTGGTAGACTCATTCCCATTTTCCTGAGGAATCGCTATACAGATTTCCAAAGTGTCTGTACAAGTTGGCATGCCCACCAGCAGTGGAGGAGTGTTGGTGAATATCTTTTCCCAGTCTGTGGGCTGCCATTTTGTCTTGCTGACTGTGTCCTTTGCCTTACAGAAGCTTCTCAGTTTCAGGAGGTCCCATTTATTAATTGTGGATCTCAGTGTCTGTGCTACTGGTGTTATGTTCAGGAATCGGTCTCCTGTACCAATTTGTTCAAGGGTATTTCATTATTTCTCTTCCACAGGCAAATGGGTGGAACTAGAAGAAACCATTCTGAGTGAGGTAACTCAGTCACAAAAAGACAGGCATGGTATGTACTCACTAATATGTGGATTTTAGACATAGAGTAA